GGTAGTTCAGTAGAAATTGTTTCTCTCTCTTGATAGGCTACCATTAACACAGGCTACATGCCTGTTTTTACCCAGCCCCCCTCTCCTTTCCTTCCCCTCACCTTTCAGGTTAAAACACTGCTTGCATCAGACTGGCCTTTAGGCAAATCCCCTCCCTTGAGGTTTCAGTATGCACATTTGTTTTTTTTAACTCATGTTCTGCTGCAGAAGTAATTCAGAATGCATCAGTCATTGTTTTGAGACTGCACCACAACACTGCTGGAGTTGTTTCTTTAAAGATAACTAACACTGCTTCCCTGAGAACAGCTAACAGAATAACCTTGAAACAAACAAACCAACCGATATTATGAGCTCATTTAAACTTGCCTTCATTTCTGTAGCTTCATAAAGAGCATAGAAAGACATCTCAATTCAAGTACTCCTGCAATAAGATACCAGTACACAGAGACTTTCAAAGTATTTCACTTCTTGGTTTTTAAAGCAAGATCTGGTATTAATGTGAGATACCTAAAAGGGTGCTTTAAGAATTAGAGCTCTAGCGGCCATAGTTAAGCTTTTGATTTCCAGGTATTCTATATAAACTACTCTAACCTAAGCATTCAAACTGCTTGCTTACCATGAGGCAGACAACTACTCCCTATTTCATAATTACAGAATATATGCCTAAATTAAAGTGCTAATAAAACAGAATTGCATTTTTTCTTATCTTCAGCTCAAATTAACATTTTTAACACATCTGCAATGAGATATCTGCAATGTCAGGTCCCAAATAAATCTGTTCTGTATCAAAAGAATCATTGTATACTGCAAGCCTCTCTGGAAGCTTCCATTACAAAGGGAGTATTTACCTTGTGTCATACTATGCCTACACAAGAAGAATCAGTCACTTAAAATGTTTGGTCAACAAACCAACTGCCTCCTCATAACACTATTTCCAGTAAGCCTTTATTATTTTTTTTTATAAAAAAAAGCCTCACAAACTCTAGGACTCAAGAATCCTGCTCTCTGTAGAAGTCTGCACAGAACAAAATTGGTTGGTGCAATGCTCAGCTGACAGCCATCACCTGACATTCAAAAAAGGGAGGGGGCTGTTCTTTTAGGAAGCAGAGCTTATATCCTAAAAGCTGGGCTCAAATGAGACTCTGAACCTTCAAGAGCTTTGCACTGCGTCATCCTTAATTACTGTCTCCTTAATTTCTTTCCTGGTATCCTTTATATAACCTACAAAGGAAAAATGTAGCACTGTTAGATGCTTCCAATCCTGTTCTTCTACCCCCTCCCCCACACAACACAGAGATGCCCTGCAAGCTATATCTGCAACTCATATGGACTACTTACAGGAGCTCCCAAGGCCCCAGTCGGTTCTTATGCAACTAGACTCCACCTCACCATATTACTTATGTAACACGTATTAAGTAGCATCTATTAGGCAGGAGTCTTCCCTATTAGTCATATACCCAGCAACTTTCATTCTGGGAGTTCTCACACTACACATTCACCAAATATTCAAGCTTCATCCCCCACCAAGTTACTACTGCAGAGGAAAAAGAAAGAAAAAAAATAAATCATATCTGGGGACAAATTAAGAGCGGGAGAAGTGCTACAGAACATTTTTAAGTGAAACTAACCACCACCCTTAAAGCATCAGCAATTTTAACTGTTTATTCGCTGACTAGGTTAAATGCAGAAGCTATATTTACACCCTGCCACACAAAAACAAGACATGGGAACTACCACTGAATTGCTTTGAAAAGACAGGAACCCCACCCAAACAGTAATGAGTTGCATTCCTTAAAACAAACAAAAAAAAAGCATTAGGATTGAAAAACATTTTTTACTTCCCATCAGAATACTGAAATAATGAAAAAAACCCAGAAAATATATCTACCAAGTTTCCAAGCCTACCCAGACATGTGTGATAAGTTCATCTTCCTATGAATCTCAGAAATTAAGACATGGGCCATTTTCACGATATCTGCATACCATAGTTTTCATTTTCACTAAGTATATAGTTAAATGCCAGTGTTAAAGGCACAGGCCAGCCGCGGCCCAACTTTGTAATACACACCACATTACCCCCACGCATAAGCTGCTCAACTCCTACAACAGGATCCAACAACATACAAATAAACGAATATCGATCCGTTTTTCCATAACGAAGTTCTGTTCAAATAGAATAAAGTCATTAATAGTTGGCAGGTTTTTCCTTAGCCGTTCCCCCCACCCCCGCCGTACCCCCAGCAAAGCAACACTGCAAATGCGACGACCTCCTCGTCAGAAGAGCAACTCCGCCCAGCCCGTACATGGTCCTCAGCTGTTTTAATGAGGTCATTTAAACAGCGCTTAAACTGACTCTTTTAGTTATTCCGGGGAACCTAACTTACAGACAAAAACGCTCTCGCACCCGAGGAGGGGAAGCCGAGCGAGAAGGGGCGGCATTTACGTTAGTACACCCGGCCGCTGGAGCAGCGCTCCCACACTCGGGCGGAGCGAGTAGGCGCCGAGGGGGAAACTTTCCCTTGCGGTGGGTGAAGCCTGACGCAGAGAGGGGGCGGAATGGAAAGCTTCCCCCGAGAGCAGCTACACCCTGGCAAGGGGTGGAGAATGAGGAGAGGAGCGAGAACCTTCCTCGGCGG